TACCATGTGGATTCATGGATTTTTTTTTCACATTCTGTCTCTCACAGTTGAAGTGTACCTCTGGTGCAAATTACTGACCTCTGTCATCATTTTACGTGGGGGAACTTGCACAATCAGTGGCTGACTAAATACTTTTTTGCCCCACTGTATGTCAATTAACTGTGATCTGTTGCTATCTGCTTCACTTTTGCCATCTATGTACTCAGAAATTCACATTAACTACAAACAAATTTAGAATCCAGCCTGAAATTAATACGTTTGAAATAAATAAGTCCTCTGCAAACAGTGACGTGTTTGCTAAACAGCCATTTTACTGTTAAATGGCATAGGTCCTAGCTTTTATATTGGAATTTAACCAGAATACAACCAGCGGGCAAACAGCTCGGTCGATTCTCCTACTACAAAGAGACGAGTGTAGAATGACTCAGATTTATTGCAACCTGTTGGAAAGCTATCCGTGTTTATAAATTAGATGGTAATTATGTTTAAACCCTAGCTATTTGGAGTCAGGTTGCCTCCCACCAGGAGAGCTGTGCAATGTGGTCAAAAGTGGTTACAGTAACTCCTTGCAATCAATCAACAAATGCAAAACAGAATAAATGTCACTGATTCAACATTGATTATTTTCCATTTCCAAGAAGACTGCTGTCTTATTTTTACTCTAATATGACTGCTGTTTTGAAGCTTTTGGTATTTATAGCATATGAAGCTAATAAGCTAGCAAACTTGGCCATTGTGTGATACTGAGTAATGTGCAAATTTTGTCAGGCTGAAAACAGATGTGAAACTGTACTACTGGAGTATGTCTCAGTATGCTGCTATTAATCTAATGAATGCCAAACAAGATCATCCACAATCAAAGTAGTCTCACCTCTACAAAAAGCGGATTTTTAAACCTTAATAGAAATGGTTGAGTTATATGAAATGGCACCTATTGTAAAGATGTCATAAATGAAATGAAGGGAGCTTTAGAGACCAAATGCATTTTTGTACCAGCATGTAAACCTGTTTATTTCTGCTCTAAAGTCTATGGGCTCTGTACTGTTTTTGGAGCCTTCCTCAAGTAGTCACTAGAGGAGCTACTGCCTCGGCCCCAAAGTTTGCTGCTTGGTGTTACAAAACTCTAGATCCATATTATATATTAGTATATAAGTTTTAGCAAATTCCTTATAGCAGTCATTCAAATATTGTTGCTGTCTAAGCAACACATAGCAGCATGAAACAATGTTATAGAGTAGCACTCCAATAAAGCACGCCTCGTGGAGAACATGATCAAATTTATTTTTATGCCATGTTTATTCACTACTGTAATTCGGCTTAAAGTGTCACGCATGAGTTGTAGTTTAATAATAAGGCTCAGATGTTAAATATTCATCTGGTGAGATGTTAGTTGGGCTCTGGGGCTTCATTTCAAGGCTAGAAGAAAAGCTGGTATATGGAAAGAAGGAAAGTAGATGAGCTGTTGTCATGAAACTGTGATGAGATGCTGGTTTATGGTCTGCAGCATACAGCCCAGCCCTCACTGGGGATAATGCCCCATCCTTGTTGGTGTCATCCTCCATCTGGACAACCACATCTCCCCAAACGCTCCCTCAAGCCAGTACAGCTCATCCAAAAATCCGCCTTCTCCCATCCTCCCCAAATTCTCCCATGTCTTTCCCATCTTGCAATCGTTCCCCTGGCTGTATTCTGTACCCTGTTGCTGGTGTCCATGGCTGTGGAGGGACCCTCCCTCCCATATTTCCAGGAAACTGTCCAGACTTGTATGCCAAACCATGCTCTGAGCTGTGCCAGCCATTGGCTAGTTGGCTGTCCATCCACGCACCAGTCTGGTATTCACGCCGCCCTGTCTGAACTCAAGTATGTCGGAGTGACTTTTCTGTCACTCAGTCTTCTGTTGTCTGAAAATCTCCCCAAAAATGACCTCACTTCCACTCCTCCCCACTGACTTTCTTGTTTTCCCTCTTTACTTGTGATTCTCAGTTATTTTTAATTATCTAATCTTTTGTACCAGTGTTGTATCTGAATACATTCTTATGGCTGCTTGTAGCGCAGTGAATTTAAGCTTAGTCTACTGTTCCACTCATTGTAATTCACTCTGCAAAAGCTTAAAATGGCAAATGTGTTGAAAGAGAATAATGTGATCCAGCTTAGAGCTTGATATCAAAACATATTCCCATGACAAAAATGTTAATCCAACCAAAATGTCATAATATCTAATAGTTGCCAATGGCTTTTGACAGCACAGAAGCAAACCATGAAAGCCCTGCAGCCATTTAGCCTAATAATGCCAACTTATCCTCTCTTTCCTCCTGGTGGAGAAATGTAATTTTTATGTGCTATGCTAATTTGTCTGGACGTGTCTGGACACTAATGTTGTAAATGCTGAGGTCAGAGAGGTTCATTCAGCTTAACAAGCAGCAAAAATGCTTATCTACACCTGATTTATTAGGGTAGATGTCTGATACACAGTACACCACAGAAGCTTTGAATGCTAAAAGTAAAGGGAGAATGCTTTCAAAGCTGATGAGTTTGAAGTCAGCTGTAGTATGAGCACCCTTTGTCAGTTACATTTCTGTAGTTTTGCCTCTGTACACCATCAACATATGATCGAACTACTGAATTTAAGCTACAGTTCACAGGATTAAACAAAAGTGTTGCTTTAACTGTTTAGGAATTACATTCATTTTTATACATTGTCTCACAAGTTCCATAACCGGTGTTGGTCAAGTTAATTGAAAATAGTAATTAGTTACTAATTGCAGATTACTTTTCCAATAAAGTAATCCCGTTACTTTACTGGTTACTTATTTTCAAAAGTAATTAGTTACCTTACTACTTAGTTACTTTTTAAAAACATGATACATAAAACCATATAAAGCAATAGACCTTTCAGCCCAATTCTTTTTTTTTCATAATCAATCATATAAAATCTGTGAATTCCACATTCCTGTGGCAGCGTGCTAGGTGCTTGCTCAGATTTGAAGTTTAATATTTAGGATGTAGAAAGATGATTTTTCCAAATAGTAATCCCTTACTTTACTTGTTACTTGAAAAAGTAATCGGATTACAGTAACACACTACTTTTAACACGTTACTGCCCATCCCTGTCCATAAGTAACTGGACAACTGAATGACAAGCAGTTTCGTGGTCAGGAAAGTGCTGTTCCCTCATAATTACATGACAAATTAGAGAACCACCTTATAATTTTACTTTTAATTTAAAGATCACAAATAGCTCTTTCAAACTAGATATAATCGTGTAACATTTTTATCAATGCTTTCTAATTATGTGTTTCTGCTGCACCACCACTGCTCTCTCCTCGTCATCTCCACCTCATCTTCTTCCTCCTCACCACGAACCTCGTTTCCTGAGCTGACATCAGGGCTCTAGCACATGAAAACATTATTATTTATCCCTGGTATTGTCACCGATACTTATTGTCAGCAGATTAGACTTTTGACCCTCTCACATCCTCATATCGAATGAGTCGATTTGCTAAGTATCAGAGTCCAACAATGTTAGATCCACTTCAAAGAAAGTTTGACATACACCAGCTAACAGAGGCTAACTCCTGCTAACAGCGGCAAAAACAGCAGCACTTACTGATGGAAAAGTTTAGGATATACTCAACAACTCACCTCAGTATTACTGTCAAAGTAAGCTTTGCTGACTTTCTCAAAGTTTTAAGCCTCCTCCAGAGCAAATAGATGTGGACACTTCTCACTTGGCATATTGACAGCTGAGGTAAACAATAGTTTCTCAAGGCAAAGAATGGGATATTCCACAATGGCCAAGTCAGTGACCTGATCATAACCCAAAAGAGCATACTTCTCAGTTATTAAATGCAAACCTGAAGGCAGAGAGACCCACAAACAAGCAGCAGCTGAAGGCTGCAGTAAAGGCCTAGCAGAGCATCTCTAGGGAGGAAACAGGATTTGCTGATATCCATGGATTCTAGACTTCATGCAGCCACTGACTGCAGCAGATTTTCATTCACATATTAAAAACAGTCCCTATATTTAAGATTGTATGTCTGATTACATTTGAACCTCAGAAAAAGAGGACCTGTGTGTAAAAAGAGCTGTGATTCCTGAACAGTTAAAGCAATACTATCATATTTCACCCAAGTAGTGACCGGATGCTGTAGAACTATCTTTTAAATTCCGTGATTTGTAGTAACAACAAGCACTTTTTTATTCTTGGTTGTGCGTGGTGTGTTTGTCACTCATAGTCATTGTGCAGCTGACACAAATGTCGTTCCACTTATCCTACTCACTATATTTCACCCTTATTAATGTAGTTTACATTAGTGAGTGGCTGTTTTAACACCATGGAGGAAAAATCATAGAATAAGTGATTCTGACTTTATGTGATCCCACACTTAATCAGGGGCAGGGCTCCTTGTCTTCTTGTTTTTTGGCATTACCTTTTAACTCATTCACTGCCATTGACGTCTATAGCCGTCAATTGCAGTGCATGAGTCAATGGGTTTAACTCATTCACTGCCAATGGCTGGCAGTGAATGAGTTAATTAGTAATTTTATATTACTGCTTAACATCCCAGCAGGTTTAAAATCTTCAGAAACGGACTATTTTTTACCCACCAATTAGCAAAAACTAACAGTGAGCGTCGTGATCAAAAATAACCCAAACAGGTCAGGCACAGAGTCCAAGTAGCGGGAGAGTCACACTGCCCAGTCAGAAGCCGGAAGCAGGCTCAGCAATCGGCCACATTAATTCTAATTGCATGTTGACTGCGAGCCGTTTGTTTGTGATCTCATGGGCCGTCACACTGCGTGCCCCACCGCTTCTGCACCACCCCAATAAAAATGAAATAGAGTTTGATCGCTGGAGTAATTACACCTCATTTAGGTAATGTGCCTGCGTGGGGCGTTACAAGTGGAAATTTGAACAAAGTCAAACAGGCGAAGTGACAGCTGAAAGGGTCAGGCTTTATTTAAGAGGAGCTAGATTAAAAGTGGTGCCCAGAATGTAAGAAATGCACATAAGACTGCAGATTTTTAATTCGATAAATGCCGTTAGAGTATAGCAAGGTATATGCAAGTTTTTTGTAACATAAATACATGAAAAAGCAAACAATAACATACAATAAACCCCCTACTGGACTGCTGGAGACACCTCACTTTAGCCATCGATGCTGCAGAGTGTGTTATGGAGATGTCGACAGTGAAATCAGCAGCTCTCCTTGCTTACGATCTAATCCGAGCTAATACACCACCTGGCATTTTACCTTCAGGGGTTTGCTGTGTTTACTGCTGCAGTAGCCTGAAGGAGAGAAATGTGGTTTACAAAGTAAAATAAAAAAAACTTTTTTTATTACAACCTCTGAGTTGCCCTTGAGCAAAGCAGTAGAATTAAGTCAAAGTGAACGGCACTGTTGCTCATTCAGCATTCCTGAAATAAATGAAGGTTGAAGGTAAACAGTGGTACAGCTTTCATTGAGTGCTTTCTCTTAGATAAACCGCGCACAGATAAAAGTTTAACAAAACACTACATTATCCAGTATAAAGTGATAGCTGGAAATGTCCCCTTTTACCATTTCTTACTGAAGTGTATTCATGGAGCTGTTGGATTGCACCAAAATGACACTTTTTTTGTTTTTATCCAACTGAAGAAACAGAATATTCACATTTAGTGCGATCTAGCTGAAATTCAATTATTATTATTAAATGGTATTTCATGCAAGAGAACTAATAAAGACAAATTAAATACTCACAGCTCTCATATTGATGTTTAAAGCGTTTTTGATTGATTCACAATATCAAGTCGTGCACTGAATAACACGCAAGGAAACATTCCACCCTAATCGCTGTCGGTAGATGCCGGTTGCATTCAAACAACACAATGAAAGACACTCATACCCTGACAGTTGGTTATTAATATTATTGCATGGATGTCAGTATAATTTGATTCTACCAAATTAAAAAGAATAACTGGGGAGAGAGAGGACAACCATCCTGTAGGAAAGTAATGGAACAGAGGGAAGAAGACACGTATAGGGAGAGCAGCGGCTGATGAAGATGGTCGGGCAGGCTGAGATGGAGATTTATGATCTATTCATAAAGCCTGTCTAGCATTTGATCATGGCTAATGTATGAAAACCACCGTGGTTACCTTAGAAACCAGTCGCAACCCTGCCATGCTCATGCATCATCAGTGTCCTCCGGTATTTAGAGACACATCACTGCACCCCTGGCTGTATTCTGTGATATGCCAGCTGTTTGTCAAATATTATTTTGGTTTGAGTAACACTTTGCAATAAGAGATTCAAAAGTGGGGAACAGGAACTACTGAGTAAATATGCTTTTACACTGGGGATAAAGACGTTATTGGCAAGTGTGACGTAATCCTGAAGCATTGAGAAATTATTGAGGACCTCTAATGATAAATCATACAGGAGAGGGTAGCACTAATAAAAAGACAGGAGTCAGAGCGGTGGAAGGGTGGAAAATGCTAAGATTTTTACTGGGAGTGACCAGAATGGTATTCGTTATAAATGAGTACATCAGAAGGACAGCTCAGGGTTCAAAGATAACGTTAGAGAGGCAAGGCTGAGATAGTTTTTATTGGACAAAGGGTGTAGAATATGGAGATGGAGGAAGGTGGGGGGGTACCACAGAGGAGGTTCGTGGATGTAGCGAAGGAGGACATGCAGAGGGTTGGTGTGCCAGAAGAGGTTGATAAAGGTTGGGTAGGATGTGGGCAGATTATCTGCTGTTCCTACACATAAATGGACCAGCCAAAAGAAAAAGAAGAAGGGGAATGTAATAGCAACGTAGTCCTAAAGTCATGATGAATGGCTACATAACTACTGATTAATTACTGAGTAACTACTGAGCAAGTATGTGTTTACAATGGAGTGTGGAGGAATGACTGCTAAGGATGACAAAGCAAAGGGAAACTGCTGAGGAACTATAATGATACATCAACTGAGCAGATAAAGAAACAACAGGTAAAGTAGTTCTGAAGTTATGAGCAACTACTTTGTAACTAGTGAGTAACTGCTGAGTGATATACTTAATTACTTGAGGTAATAAAAAAGAATGACTAAGCAGCAATAAAGAAGCAATTAGTGTTTTGTTCTGCTGTGTTTGATTTATTGAGAATGAACTCTACATATGAAAAAAAATGGACCTTTCCGGATTTACGGATGATTATGAGCTAATCATTACCTTATGATTCACTAATAGTGTGTTTAGCAGCTGGCTCTTAAGTATTTAATAGCCCTGGGTCAAGAGTTATTAGGGAAGTACTAAAGAACAACTCATTAACTATCAGACTGTTCCTGATTTGTTGTTCCTATTTCTTTAGCAACTATCCCCCTCTTAGAGTAATACACAGTGCTGACAGGAAGCTGCAAATGCAGTAAGAGGCTCAAGAGTAGTCCTTCTGAAAAATGAGCAAAGAAAAAGGAGACAGCTGGGATAAAGGTTAAGGAATTGTAGACAATTAATAAACTTCTCTCTGTATATTTCTCTGCTTCTTTTTCTAACTCCACGGCATTCTTCCTTTGCCCTCTTTCTCTTCCCCAGGCTGGATGATTGATGCAGACAGCAGGCCGAAGTTCAAAGAGCTGGCCGCCGAGTTCTGCAGAATGGCCCGTGACCCACAGCGATATCTGGTGATTCAGGTGTGTCCTTTGATAAAAACTTTCCTTTGTTTCTTTTCTCTGCAAACATTTACATATCGTGCAGACACAAAAGTATTATCTGATGCATCTCTCGCTGCAATCTGTATGCTGCTGGAATTAATTTGGTGCTCGGCAATTAAAACTGTTACACGTGTATAACTCAGGGAGACGACCGTATGAAGCTTCCCAGTCCCAATGACAGCAAGTTCTTCCAGAGCCTGCTGGACGAAGAGGACCTTGATGACTTGATGGATGCCGAGGAGTATCTGGTGCCTCGAGGTTTCAACATGGCCACTCAGTCATGCACGACCAGGCCTCGTGTTGACCCCAACAGGGTAAGACCACTGACGAACACTGTGTTATACTGCATTTTGGAAGCATTTGTGTGCCAAACACTCCAAAGTTGTTAAGCGTCATAGATGATCTCCAGCAAAAAACATCTTTAATTTTGTGTACGTGCCTCTTCTCTTTTACTGTCCTACAGTATATAAATGCTCAAGGTGGTTAAGAACCTGCAATACACTGATGATTTCCCTCTACTAATAACCTGCCTCCATCATTTCCATCACAGTGTGTGTGTCTTAAACCTGGACTCTTTATGCAGTAGCTCCCCAGGCCCCAGGTTTCATTACTCAGAGCGCCATAGGCAAATAACAAGCCGCTATCTTAAAATGCTGGAGTCGTTTACAAATAGACAATGAGCACAGGCTGGGCTGCTAGCTTTGCAGCATGCACCATGCGCTGCTGGCCAGCCCATGGCTCCCCATCTTATACAACTTTAGCCCCACGACCTATCCATTTGCCAGTGGCTCTTTGTTCCCTGACAGCCGCTCACATACGCCAAAAAAACCCACACATGATAATCGAGTCAAAGTCCTACTTGTTTAAGGTCAACAACCAGATTGGCAATTGAAGATCTTTTGATTTTACAATCAGAAGCTGCCGCGTGCCCAAGCAGGGAAGGGTGTATAAATCCATCAGTGAGCTGACTTTGCCGAAGGAAGTTAGTTATTCAGGTTGTGCCGCCTCAGACACAGTCCGATACAGACGGTTATCTTATCTGTGCTGATTTGCTCTCACTCGCTCACACTTGAAAAGACGAGCCGATAATGACTTGCTTTGAAGAAGGGATGAACAGAGAAGTTTGGAGGAGGAGGATGTTGATTGCAGTAGAGGGAAAACCGTAGGAGTAGGTGGACGAATATAACCCCGGGACATTTCCCTCTTTTCTGTTGTGTTTTGTAGATCTGCTTCCCGTAATTGCTGCTGTAGCGCTAGCAGCTGGCAAGAGTGCAGAGAAGTTGGCCTGGATTAAATAGCCTGCAGCAAGCCAACACAGCTCCACAAGAAGCCCTTTGCTTCATTTGTCATGTTTTGTATACTCTGGTGGGCCTTTTTTTTTTTTTAAGGTTCAGGTGTTTGTATCATAGCTTTGCCTGGCTGCCCCTCACAGTCCCTGGTGGCTGATGACTACACCAGCAGAACTTTGTCTGAGAATTTTACTTCAAAAGGCAGCAGCATGGGTTAAAGCCTCACTGCTCTGCCGCAGTTGGAACAAAAGTTGTGTACGCTAGCTTAAACTTTGTTGTTATTAGCTTATTTGCCATAGATATTATATCATCAAAGAGTTAGACAGTACCCAGAGTACCTCAGACCAAAGATATTTACAGCTAAGTTAATTCAGAAAGTATCTTAATCAGAATTTCTGGCAGAGAGCAGAATTCATGGTTCCGTCAATTACAGCAAGTAATTGAACTGAAGCAGCAAACTGCCACTATATTGTACGGTATGATGTTCTTTTTATGAAGTGCTGTGTTAGTTTTATGCAGATGTAGTGGAACTCAAACCTTCCACAAAGTTCAGATGTTGTTTCATCAGTCCACAGAATATTTTCCAAAATTGTGGGGCATCATCAAGATGTTTTCTGGTCAATGTGAGACTTTGTGTTTTTGTTTTTGGTCAGCAGAGGTTTTCTCCTTGAACTCTCCCTTGGATGCCATTTTTGCCCAGTCTCTGTCTTATTGTTGAATCACAAACTTTGACTGCAGTTCTTTAGATCTTGTTCAGTCCACTTTTGGTAGGCCATTCACTCCTGGGAAAGTTCTATAACCGATTCAATTCCGATTCACAAGGTCCTGATTCGATTTGATTCAATTTTGACTCAGACAGTCAGAAATATTTTAATTCTGATCATTTATCAGTACATATCCATATTTTGTATGTCTATGTATAAAAACAAAGCTGACACTTGAGACTTCATCAGAGGTTTAAGCATCACAGCAGATGCCTATGTGTCAAAGTAACTGAGGATAAAACGCAGAAAAACATGAAGGAGATTTTCCTGCCCTGGCTTTTTATAGCAGATTCTGCAGTAGAACAAAAACTGAAGCAAACCATGAATCAACCTATGAACGTATTACCTGCTGCTGCTGAAGTGAAGCAGAGCAAAGTTACAGAGGTGTTAACATCTTTCTGTGGAATCCGTTCACCTGCTTTTTAATCGTTTAGTGTTTTAACTCTTTGGCAGTTTTTGAAATAGTTTTGTGAGCCTGAGCTGAGATTCTGGCATTTCTGGCAAAATACATTCACATTTAAAAATTGATTCAGAATTTTTAAGAATCAATATCACATTATTCAAAGTAAAATCAATTTGAAACGGAAAATTGATTTTTTTATACCCACCCCTAATAATGGCTCTCACAGTGGTTTACCAAAGCCTCAGAAATGTTTTTTATAACAATTTCAAGACAGATAGATGTCAGTTTGTTAAATCTTAGCATGATGAATTGATATTTGAGATACTTTGGCCTACTTCACTTTGCCATACAGGTTCTTGTTAAGTGAGTTTTTGATTCAGTAGGTCTGGTAGTAAGCAGGCTTGGTTGTGGCTTTTGAAATTGAATGTAACTTTACAAAAACATGTGGTTAATCACAGTTAATTCATGATTTAACAATCAAGCAGGGCAAAATAGCCTTACTTGCACTTCTTTAGCAGAGAATCAGCTGTGTCATGCACTTATTTGCTCCGACTTGGACTTCATGGCCCCTCTTGAACTCATGCTATACTCAGTTTTTCTTATCTTAACCCCAATCCCTGCCTCTCTTTACTGCAGAATCAATTTGGCTATCGAGATGGTGGTCCAAATGCTGCAGAAGGACCCTTGGCAGGCACACAAGCTTGTGTGAACCAGGATGCCACAGGTGGCCCGAGCCCAGTCCTGGAGGACCAGCGTTGTAATGGAAGCCTGCATAAGAAGAGCCTGAGCCAGGCTGGAGGGGAAGACAGTGGGGGTCAGAGGTACAGTGCTGATCCAACCATCTTTCTGGGGGAGAGAGCATTGAGAGGGGACACTGATGAGGACGGATACATGACGGCAATGAAGGACAAGAGCTCCTCAGGTACTCATAGTAAAGCCTTATGAGACTGTTGTGGCCACTTGAATCATTTAGAAGATAGTTAATCCAGTTTAATTTTCCAGAGTATACATTAGAAGCAGAATTGCTCTAAAGAAGCTAAAAATAAGTTCAGGTAGGAATTCTGCAGTCCTGCAGGGCATTTAATAGTAATGATGCATAAATGCATTTTAGGAGCTGTATTTAATCCACAGCACATAGTAGATAATATTAAACTTTAAAATAACCTTACCTAATTAAAATAATTTCTTACTAATCTAAAAAACAAAACTGTGTAGAGGAAGTTAAAGATTGATTACGCTACAATCATCTATGCAGCTCCACAAACAGAAACATAATTAAAATTATAAACAAGTACATAATATATGTGCACCTTTCTCTCTGTCTTGTCATCTCTTTGCTCATTCACAGAGTAAATACGATCCTTTGTACGATAGTCGGCCTGTCAGTTTTCCTGTTCATTTCATCTCATTCCATTGATTAAAATTCCTACTGAGTTTCCTTCGACGGCGGTGTATGTCAGCTACTACTACAGAGTCATGTTTTGCCTTTGATCATAATTCAGTCCATCAGCCCTGCTCTTGCACTACCGTCTTTGATTTTTTTTTTTTTTTTTGAGCAGCTCAAAATATAACAAAGCCTGCAGCAAAATGCATCTGATGCAATGTCAAGGAGCGGAAAAGTGGGCAAAATCAATAGGTTTCTCACCCCACTATTATAGCGCTTGGAAGCAGTGAAGAGGGGTCATTTGTTGGCATTTTCAACCCCGGCAGATGGAGTTTCCAGTGCCAAAGAACTGCTGGCAAGATGCCCGTCTTGTCCTGAGTGCCTGCCATTAACGCCATTATCATCTCCATCTTCTCTCCTCATTACCGAGTGATCTCTTTCTTTTACTCCATTTCATTCTCTATTTCCTTTGTTTTCTCACCTCTTGATTTAATTTCTCCAGATTTTTTGTTATTGCTGTCTGAACTGTTTTTCTCTTCTTCTAATTCACTCTCCTTCTCATTCATTTTCTGTGGTACAGAATATCTGAATCCCATTGAGGAGAACCCGTTTGTCACGCGACGTAAAAACGGCGAGATCCACGCCCTGGATAACCCAGGCTACCACAGCACACCCAACAGTCAGCCCAAAGGAGAGGACGAGTACATCAATGAGCCCCTCTACCTCAACACCTTCCATACCCCCGCTGAGCTGGGCCTGGAAGCCCTGAGGAGAAATGGTCTGCCCCTACCCACCCAACCTCCTTCTTCTATCTCAGCCACAACCTCAGGCTCCCATCTCCCGCTTACCATCCAGACTAGCCTGCCCCACTACCCCCTCCCCACAGCCCAACCATCTCCATCTGGTATTCCTTGCCATCATGGTCCACCGACTCACATCCTCCATGCCCACCACACCGTCAAACCTGCAGGGCAACCTGGCAATCCAGGTGGCGGCTCTGTTGCTCAGAGTCAAGCAGGAACTACTGCTCAGGCTCAGGTGAGCCAGTCACTGTCCACTTCAGCCACCATTGGGCATGGCAGCCTGCCAGCCTACCAGAGCTACGCCACCACACACCCTGCCAGTTTGCTGAAGCATGGAGGGCAAACATCAGGTAAAGCCAGCGGGAAGAAGCTGAAGGTGACCTTTGACAATCCAGAATACTGGCAGCACAGCTTGCCTCCCAAATCATCTAACCAGGCAGCCTCAGATGGTGCCCAGGGAGGTTCCACCAACGCCAAGCTCTTCTATAAGCAGAATGGACACATACGGCCGGCAGTAGCTGAAAACCCTGAATACATGTCTGAGTTTTCCCTGAAAGCTGGAACCATCTTGCCACCTCCACCTTACCGGCAGCGAAACACTGTGGTCTAGATTATTCCATTTAACAAACGTTCCCCAATCTTCCTCTAGCCTCCAACAAGCCCAACATCCTCTCCAGTTCCACGGTCCTACACAAAGAGAGAGTAGCACCAACCAAGGCTGCTCTCAGCCCTGCCCAGATAACAGGCCATCTGCTGTAGATTGTAGCAACATCTGGAGGAGGTGGACCGAACCAAGCAGAAGCAACTCAGACCCCTGAACTGTCACTATAGACAATCTCGTCCATCTCTGTTCTGTAGATAGAGACTGTGCTCCATGTCATTCAGAATGTCAAGGTTATGGTAGTTTTCAGTAAAGAACAGATGCTTAATTATCACACAGCAGTGGACGGACTGTATCTGGGGGTACCTGAACTCACTGCCAGCCACTTGGGTTTCAGATTTGTGAGAGGAACAAGAAGTTTTACTAATCTTTTTGCTTTCTATTATAAAGTTCTGAGGAGGAACAATATTCTGCAAAGGGTTTCTGAAAGACACAATCACATAGAACAAATACAGTCTGTTAGATGTCAAGATGCCTGGTTTTCTGAATGACATTAGAGTGAGGTAGCCAGGCAACAAAAGCAAAATATGGAAGAAGAAAAGACAATATAGAGTGGACAACAAAAGATGGAGCACTCATCAATCATATTCAGTGATTTTGCCTATAGGATTATACCCACCGTGTGTTCTTTTATATGAAATATGTGAATCTCATCTCATCCTTCTACTGTAACTGTGATACTGTGATGGACAAAACTACAGTGATCTTTTCTTTCACATTTGTAGTTCAACCATGGACTTTTTAAATTGCTCGAGAAGCTGCAGGGCAACTGCTGTTCTGTTGGTTTTGCTTGGCTGCTGTCTGTTTGGAGAAGCTGACTAAAACAGCTTTCCCAGGGCAAATGGTAAAAGGGAAACCACACTGTAAACACTTTTATAATCACGGGTTTCAGTGCTGAAAAGATTTTTATACACTGGTTTTCCCATTCAGATCGTGAAGCTAACTCGGATGAGAAAACCTGCTATGAGCTGTAGAGTACTCCAGTAAAGCAGCTGAACTCAAAATGGTGTTCAAAGAGAGAAAAAAAACTACAGAAAGGGGAGGAAAAGTTCATGAAAGTTTATATAAACTGACTAATGAAGACCTCAAGGAAGGAACAAGACAGCACCAGCAGAGCACAGTTCAACAGACTACTTTATATGTCTATCTGTCTTTATGTTAGTGTGATTGGGATTAGTGTGTGCGTGTATGTTCATATTTTAGCAAGCTACAGATGATCCCACTGGGGGGTAAAAGTCAGTGTTAATGGAGTCGAAAGCTAAAGATCTTCAGTACTAACCAACGATCGACTCTATCAAGGCTTTTTTCCCTATGTTAAGTATAAAACAAACCAAGCTCAAATCAAAAGATCATTAAAAGCCCCAAACTGCACCAAATGGCACCAAATCTCTGGAAGGGTTTTATAGATTTAGGGTGTCCTTAGCTAACGTTACTTTCTTTGAGTTGATCAAAATCAAGAATGTGAGGATTTATCATTTTAGTAACTGGAACTGGAGCTTGTCTCGGTCATGATGTTTGTTATATCCTCGATTGCTTGGTCCGAGAAAAAGTACAACTCTAGACTACTTTTGGCCACATAATTCTTGATTATTTTTGTCCACATCTGATCTAGATGCTTTTTGCTTTTTTTTTTTTACAGAATCATGTTTTTTCCAGACCCCACCCATATTCTTATTAGACTGTTAATTGGTAGCTAATTTCATTTTGGCTACTAGAAATGTCAGTGGTTCCTACCCAAATTGTTCACAAGGCAGAAGTCGATAAGCTAACCTTGTCTGCTAGAAAATGTATTTTAAAGAGCAAGAAAAAATGATGCTTTCAAATAAGTCAGATGTTTTAAAGCTAAATTTATTCTTTAGCATTAAAGCTAGCTTAAGCCTCACATGCACCTCCATAGAATTGTAACTACACCTTGTGGCAACATAGATCTCTGATCTTGCCAACGAATATGTGGCCATAGATTGTGGCTGAATACAGAAAACTTGACAGTAGCTTGAAGTGTATATTTTATTTATATTTCAACCAGGACTACTGTAGTCAGAGGACTGTTGTTTTAGTAATTTCTGTTTGGAGGTATGGTTCTATTCTGGGCTAATGTAGAAAGCACAAAGCAGGGAGACTCCTTTCACGTAAACTATACTTCTGTTTCAGCTCTACGCCGTAACTTATACCATAACCAGACCCCATTTTAACCCTATGCCGCAACCTTCTAAGTAACCTGTTGTGCACTTCCCTAGAAATGTAACTACATGTCGGGCCAATGCATACCACAACAGCTTGATGGTGTGGAAGACCTCAGTGTAGGGATACAAGGATTTTCCAATTACGTAGTTAGTTGGGATGTTGAGATTTCCCACAGTAGTCTAAATGAAGTTTAAGATTTCACAGAGCAGAAATAACAACAAATGTGAAAAGGAAGAGTTAGCTGGATGTGGGGTTGGCTGCTTCCAAAAAACTGTCATAAGGATGTGTAGAAGGGTACTAGCTGAGACATTAGCTTATCCGCTGGGACTGTGGTGGAGCTTGACTTTGTCACCTAGCTGAACTTGGCCTTTGCTCCATGTATGCAGTTGTGGTCAGAAGTTTATATCCACTCATCACAAATATCATGATCATTTTGGGCTTCTAATGAATTCTTTGAAACTGTCTTTTTTCCACGGTGAAATGACTGTATAGTATACATATTTAATGGCTTTAAAAACAAAAAATTGGGCTTTAAAGTTTTAAAAAGTATCTGGCATAATTCTGGCTGGATATTTGGCCGCTCTTCTTGGCATGCATTGAAAATGTAAAAAGTAAAAGAAAAAAAATTCTAAGCTGAAAAATAACACGACATTCATGCCCATGATGAGTGCATGTTAACCTACAACCACAACTGGCCAAACCAAGTTCATAAAGCAAGCTCTGTTTTGAATACATGTAATTTTTTTTAATGCAGCACAGGGTAACTGGTAAACGAAATTAGTACTATACTATATGACTTTTTTTTTCAGTTAAAACTATAATGTTATGTTTTCCAATATTAAGTTAGTATAGTTTTCATTAGTTTCTTGGTGAATCACCAGACAGTCAACTACTGTTACCAGTATTAATAACTGTGCCAATTTTTAACATACCTAAGAAAGTCATTTCTTGTTTTGTTTGATGTAATTTGCACTTTCAGCACCACTGAGTTTTAAATTAATTAGTCTAGCCACTGTTTAACGAAGCCTCTAATCTATAAAGGCTTCACATCTGTTCTTAGCCCAGAGTGATATCATCACTCTCAAGAAATCTCAAGAAAATAGTTCTAACCCTGACTACTGATGCCTGTGTAGGCAACTTGCCAGTCAATGCTGCTGAAAGGACTGTATTACAGCCGTTATTTCTTCCACCAAGCCATACACAACACCTGTGGGTAGGGGAAAACACTGCAACGCTTGCCAAACTTAGAAGTTCAAGATAAAACTTGTGTAATGTTGGTTTTTCTCAGAGGTCCTTTTGCAATATCTCCTTTATTTAGTTGAATGAATATGAAGAAAAACTTGTAGTTCTTGAACCTTTAACAACAACGGTATTTTTCATTATTTGTGGAGCATAAATATTGCTTTGTCATAGTTTCAACAACCTTTCATCATTCTGCTCTGCCAGAGCCCAGCCCTGCCTAAGCTGTGTTCTTGCGTAGGTTATTTATTTTGTGTATTTAAAAGAGTGTGAAAGTGTGCTTGTCTCAGTCTATGCACATGTAACGCTGTATGTGTTTATCCTCCCCATGGAGCACTTTGATCAAAGTCGCGGGTATAAAGAAAGGATTTCCACTCTTCGTTACTGAAATATTCAACTTGTTTATCCAGCCGTTTACCACTTCAGAAAGCAATAGCTTTAGCAAAAGTACAAGGAAAGAACTGGGGCCAAGAGGTCATAAGGAAAACACATTTTACATGGTACTTGACCAGCTTCAAGAATGTCCTTGTTTCCATGTTTTTTCGCTGACTTCAAACAGTATTTATAGTAGTGCTTTGATGCTGTCATGATTAATTGATGAAGGAGTATTTTGTAGTCCTTTTTCGAGCTCTAATTCAGTGAAATAGAGACAGCATTTAATATCAATGTGAAATATTTATGGCGCGTTTGAGCTTGTTTATACTGAGCGATGGAAGCGACTGCCAAATCTGGGTTTCAAGAAAAATGAACAAAAATATGATGGTGGTCGAAAGAAAAACACACGCCTTGGTTTATGCCTGTTTTGCCCTAAATTACACTGCAGACCCAGGCAAAATGTGTGTTTGAATCAAGAACAGATTGAAGGACTGATGATACAAATGGTTTCAAATGTTCTCAAGAGCACTTAAGAGAATCCGAGGCATCCCCACTCTCCCATTTTTGATCTGAGTCATTGACTTGTTTGTTGACAGAAAGGTAGGAAAAAGCACCTGAAGTTCCCCTTCTGTTAAGTCGTGTTTTTTCCCATCCTAAGACCTTGGTTATCCTTTTAGAGTACCAAAATGTGTTGCGTCTATGTGGAAGCATTTTTTTCCTCTCTGAAGACTAATATCTTGTGTCTTGTTTCAAACTAATTTTGCCTTGGTGTTACCTGCTGCTATTTGTCTCAGTCCTTAACAGGCTTGTGTTCGTGGCAGTTCAAAGCATGCCAGGGGGAAACACTGCTGGTTAGGCTGATCCTTTTTATATTATTTTCTGGGTTTAGGTTTTTGTTTTTTGTTTTTTACTGCCTCCTCAAAGCCAAGGTGCAAAGGCATGTAGCCATGTCCTGAACCGAATCCTTCAATATTTTATCCTCAAACACCATACAGGCTTCAACAAAGTCTATTGTATAGTAAATATTACATTGCATGGTTCCCAAAGTGAGTGTTTTACTGCCCTCCACCTTTGTATCTCATTTATGACAACATTATACTCAAATTTCTGTCCAGTGTGGGAAAAATTAATCAGATATTTTTTATCGAGTTTAGTAGCACAAACTGGGAATCCTTATTTCTGCGATGTTTCATGGGAATTTTTGTGTGTGAGTGTAGTACACCCCCACCCCCTCCCTACAGTGTCTTTTTAATATTGAGTTTTATCCTTAGTATCAACGATGTAACTTCTTTTTCCCACTATTGTGTTGGCTACTGTACATTCTTCAACATGTTTGTTATTCTAGCCACGTTTTTCGGTTTCTTGACATTTTAATTGCACAAAAGAAGAAAAAGCTACTCTTAGCTACTCCCTTATTCACAAGGGGTTGCCATAGCGGGTAGCTCCACATATTCGGTTTGGTAGATTTTTACGCCGGATGCCCTTCCTGATACAGCCCCGAAGGGATTTGCGTCTCCTACCGGAAATCAAACCAGGAATCTTTCGCTTGTTAGGCGAATGTATAAACCACTATACCATTGTCCCTCATAAAAGAAAGTCATTCATTTTCTGTATTCAAATCATTGTATCAGTATAACTGTACAGAATCTTTGGGATTTCCTCCCAGATTTATCTAACACACTTCAACAACAAATGTGAATAATATTTTTATAAAGCACCGAAATGGCCGACTTGGTGAATTTGTAAATAAGGAGGCGATGCTTTGAATTTATATTGGTCTTCTCTCCTACTGCTTTTTTCTCCTGCTTATATCGACTTGTACAAAAAGAGCCGTACATATTTGCTTTATGTAAGTGTACCCTTTTTACTAATGGGTATTTCATTTTAAAAGTGCTTGTTGTTCCCTTCTCATGTGAAACTCTGTTCAGTGGCCCTGCTTCAGACCTTTGTGGCTGTTCACGTGTAACGTTTCAGTTTAAGTGAACACTGTTAAACACTACACAAATAACAATGGGTGGTGTCTCACTTTGAATACTTCCATAATAGTAGCATATTAGCTTGATAGTGTAGTGTTGTCTGAAATCAGGCACGACGAGAGGCTGGACTATTGGAGCATTTGACCATGGCTGTCATGTTAGCTGGCACATTTTGTTCATGTTTACATTTGTCAAGTTACTTACTAAATGTAATACTAAATTCTTCTGAAGTAATGTAAACACAGCAACATCAGTCCCAGATTGAAAAATCTCTTGCTTTTAGCTTTCCAGATAGCTAGCAATAACAAGGATTGTTGCGCTAGCTGCAACATTTTATAAACATATGACAAAATGAGCTTCTTACCATGTATAACACTTTTCTGTCATTGCAGATGTAAGTTTAACATGCATAAATATCAGTCGATGCCATAATGCGTGAAATATCAATCCCGGGTTGCTAAGCATCTGCTGGCGGTAGCTAGCTAGATAGCGCAGACTGCAAGTCTCACACTAGATGGCGCATTTAGTGAATTTATCAAGTTGTTGAGCCTCTGGTCAGATATCTTACACTAAAATCTCTATGAAGTCACAGAAAACTACCAGACAATACCACAGTGCAGACAACATGCCAACAACACAAAAACAACTAACTAGCTAGTATTAGCTCAATATCTGGCTCTAATTTGAAGATCAGCTGTTAAAGCCTTAGTTTCCACTACTTAAGGCCAAAGTCAGACAGGCTGTGCGACGGGTTCATCATTCTCCTTGCAATATCTGATCACTAAGGAAAGATGTATGGTCCCCCACCAGTTAACAAGTGGTTGCTGGAGATTGCTGTCTGTCACAAATGGGGTGCTGCATC